CTAATATCCCAAACCCCTCCTTTAGAGTGCAGGCATTGTACTTCCCATTTCCATGACTCAAGTCCGGCTATATAAAAATAACCGGTTTCCCTGAATCCCTTCACTAAATATTACCCTACTCTAAAAGTGAAATAAAAATATATGAAACGAAGAGGAATGGTGAAATGTGTCAGGTGTTGCTGGATCAGCAACACTCAGTGTTGTGTAGAATTTGTCAGGATGAGTTTAGCCAGAGATTATGCTATGATACACGACCCTATGAGGTATTGCTGGAACTCTTGAAGACAGAAGTTACTCCAAGTTGGAGGCATTGGAATTTTATCATGAAGTCGCTGCCTTAGTGATTCTTGTAACTGAGAGTTCCTCTGGTGCGTAGAATCTTGAGTTCGTCAGATGTGAAGTCACGAGTCTCGAAGTCGCAGTGTTTTTACGTTTTAGCTTCTTGGGTTGTAAGTTTGGCGGTAGTTTATGTGTGGGTGACCGTCTTCCGGAGGAGCCTTTCAACTGCGAATGTTTGAAGGTCACAATGCAGCATTAACCGTAAAATCTGCGTCGCCCGAAGCCACCGAAGCCGCCAAAGCCGCGACCAAAGCCGCGACCAAAGCCTCCACCAAAGCCGCGACGAAAGCCGCCATAGCCAAATTGTGGATCAGCAATGGGGTCAGGGTCAGCTAGGGCGAAGGGGTCAGGCATGGCTCTGGCTGACCCCAGCAAGGCAGTCAGGGCCACCACCATAACCAACATCACCGACAACTGCAATAATAGAAGATACAACCTTAATTTTTGTAATATTGTTGGCAGAATTACCTACAATATTTTAAGTAAAAGAACACAACTAATGCTACATTTTGCTATGGCAATGTTTCGCTCTCCAGAAGCTTTGTCAAGCCGTAACAGCTTTTCTAAGCCGTTACTTGCTTTCTAAGTTAGGTTAAGTTAGGGTTGTTGAATATCTACAGTAAAATAATTAAATACAACATTCAGCTACTAAAAAGCTATAAATATAGAGGTATAGATTTCCACCCCCAACCTCATACCTTGTCTTGCATAGTTAAAATCATCTGTCTGCGATTATTTGCAATATATATATATGTCGTGCCGAATAGGTAAAACTGGTCAATTAGCAAGAACTCATTTAAAATTAAGTTCTTTCTAAAATTTTCTCTTATACGTTTAAAGATATATTTTTTTCATTAATGTTAATGTAAAAAAAAATTTAATTTTGCTCCAAAAGAATCTTAGAAAACTTACCTAACCTTATTATAACAAGAACAATTTATTTTAGCCTAACCCAACTAAAATAAAATTTAGATTTGTTTACAATAATTTAATATTAAACAAACACAGTGAAATATATTTTTTTCCCTTAGGTTCAGAATGATTTTGAAAGAAATTACTGCATACACAAATTTTCTTTTGTCCTTATGGGAAGATGAGCGTTGCTATTTAAGCCAAGATCGCAAGTTCTGCCCATTCGGCACGACATATATATATAAATTTTATATTATATATATATATATAATATATATTATATATATATAAATAAATTATATATATATATTATATATATATATTATATATGTCGTGCCGAATATGTAAAACTGGTTTAATTAGCAAGAACTCATTTAAAATTAAAATCCTTTCTGAAATTTTCTCCTTTACGTTTAAAGATATATTTTTTTCATTAATTTTTAATGTAAAAATTTTTAATTTTGTACCAAAAGAATCTTAGAAAACTTACCAACCTTATTATAACAAGAGCAATTTATTTTACCCTAACCCAACTAAATATATTTTAGATTTGTTTACAATAATTTAATACTAAACAAACACAGTGAAATATATTTTTTTCGTTAGGTTCAGAATGATTTTGGCGAAATTATTGCATACACAAATTTTCGCTTGTCCTATATGGCAAGATGAGCGTTGCTATTTAAGCCAAGATCGCAAGTTCTGCCTATTCGGCACGACATATATATATATATATATATATATATATATATATATATATATATATATATATATATATATATATATATATATATATATATAATATATATATATATATATATATATATATATATATATATATATATATATATATATATATATATATATATATATATATATATATATATATATATATATATATTCAAAACTTTATTTTCTATCTTTAATTATTTTATTAAAACTCAAACACCAAGAAGCTCTGTGGACGAGTAACAGACTGTGATGGTCAAAAATTTTCTGTGATTAATAATTCGCACACCACCCGGGCCAAATTAACTTAATAAAACTTAGCTTAGGACTTCCCAACCTACTTTAGGCAGCTATAGTTCAGATATAATAACTTACCACCAAGAAAATCTATTTTCTGGTGATATTCCAACAGTTTCTAAAGGAATTATTGCAACAGTAGGGTTAAAATGTCGTTGCTTCACAAGCTAAGACTGCAAATTGCCTGAAAAAAAAGATGATGGAGCCAGACAGAAGGATCATC